TTTTTAGCGTCCAAATGTGAAAAGAGTAAAAAGAGAAAAAGATTGCCATTGCTTTTGCACACCAACGGAAAAGGTAGACTACATCAGATTTCCTTATACCGAAATTAAAAATTTGCATATGACTAAAATTATTTGCATAAAAGTTCTTTAAATGTAATAATTTCAATTTGTATTATTCATTTTATATTTACATTAAATTGGATGTTTATTTTTAGATTAAAATATGTGGATTATAGCGAAATGTATATTGCTCACCGAACAGTTGTGCCAGATGACCGCAACTAACATGAGTCACTCATCCACTCATCTAGAGGAGTGCTCTTCTCCTCTAGATTCTTGAGTGGCTGTTGTGATCCGCTCAAGAAAAGAGATTCATCGTTGAAAAATTTCGTACCACCCTTTGTGTTTATAGAATTTATAGAATATTCTTCACATGTAGAGAAACATGTGAGAAAGAGAGTGCGCTTATTTTTTAGTACAGTACAATTGTACTAAAAAATGAAGAAATAATGAACAACACGTACAGTACAATATAGGTGTTGTTCATTATTTCTTCATTTGAAAAAGAACACACTTTTTTGAACACTTTTTCTGTTGCCAACTTTATTCTAATTATTAAACATTTTATTATGTTATATGTTTTATATATTTTACTGTTATCAGAACCGGCAATGTGCAGTACATTAAAATTTAATGAAGAAAATTTCAACTGTATCAAATTTAGTAGAATTTTAATGCATGCAGTCACTCTTTCAATAAATTCAAACCTTTATATATTATATTATAATGTAAAGGACAATTATATATAATTGTACAGTACATATAAATTATATATAATATATAATGTATATAATAAAAAATGACAAATGTATAATATAAAACGTGTTGAAAGTTTTAATTTCGGTTAATTTAAATTTCTATAGAAACATTTCGTTGTGTTTCTAAGTATGCTTTCGTAACATTATAATGTCTGTAAAGTAGATAAAGAATATTTGCGTAAGCGTATCCTCGTATTCAGTTACATTTACATTCGTATTATTTAAATTAAATTTATTTTATGGAAGCTTTCGAGTAAGACATAATTAACATTCATCGTTCTTCCTCCGTTCAGTGTTGACCTTTGAGAAACTGATTAATCTTTGTGGCATACTTTTAAGCATGTTTATTAATTCGTGCATTACGAAATTAATTTTATGTTATTCATCAAATATTTTGGAGTTTCCGCTTACATTGCAATATATATTTATAAATGACGTAGGTTTTTTAACGATTTTTAAATAACGACAATTAAAATTTTAGCGTTAGAAAATGAAATCTAACGTATTTGAAATTAAAATATCAAATTAAATTCAAATTAAAGAAATATCCCTATTTAAAGCAATCTGTGGAGAGAAGCAATGGGAAAAACGCCGTTATATTTGGTATGTATACTTTTCAGAGCATGGATAAGAGTTTTGGCAATAAATCAAATATGATGAAATATCCGATAAAATAATCATGGTGCTGAGAGTGGGAAAAGACTATAACAGAGTGAAGGTTGGTGTTAGGAAGATAGGTGAGATGATTGAGTGTACAATACATGGGTAGAATTATATACAGTATATATATAATTCTTTCCGCCCTGCGGGCACCAAGATGACCTTTTTACCAAACCCATTATGGGTTCGGTCAGTCCCACTATGGAGCAGCCGGGTGATGAGGGACAGGGAATGGGTAGATTGAGAAATATACAGGGTAATTATAATTAAAGTTTCACTTTGAAATGGCCATAAAATGAAAACTACTGGACAGAATGTTATCAAACTTGGTAATAGTGTAGACAGAATGTTATCAAACAGGACGTCATGGGATTTTATTTCCCGCGAAAAAAAGTTCAAAAATTCACCACCAACGGGAAATGGCGCTGTCTGCAATATTATTAAACGAAATAAGACATGAAGACATCGTTGAAAATGTTTTTAATCGGTTTTAAAACGCATTACAAAGCATGTTCAATGTGGTGTTCACCATTTTTGATAAGCAAGTTACATCGCATTACTGTGTTCTCAACAGTAGTTCTTAGCATAGGCCTACCACTTTCTTCCTGCCGTAAGCCATTGTGATTTTGCGAAATCCCACAAACAGTTTCGTTTTAAAACNATTTTAAAAAATGAAGCTGAATATTTTGCAAGAAACCTTAAGCAAGCTTAGTTGCTGCTTGGGTAAATTTATTGGAAGGCACCCATTATTTTTTGACATATAAATTATATATAATATATAATGTATATAATAAAAAATGACAAATGTATAATATAAAACGTGTTGAAAGTTTTAATTTCGGTTAATTTAAATTTCTATAGAAACATTTCGTTGTGTTTCTAAGTATGCTTTCGTAACATTATAATGTCTGTAAAGTAGATAAAGAATATTTGCGTAAGCGTATCCTCGTATTCAGTTACATTTACATTCGTATTATTTAAATTAAATTTATTTTATGGAAGCTTTCGAGTAAGACATAATTAACATTCATCGTTCTTCCTCCGTTCAGTGTTGACCTTTGAGAAACTGATTAATCTTTGTGGCATACTTTTAAGCATGTTTATTAATTCGTGCATTACGAAATTAATTTTATGTTATTCATCAAATATTTTGGAGTTTCCGCTTACATTGCAATATATATTTATAAATGACGTAGGTTTTTTAACGATTTTTAAATAACGACAATTAAAATTTTAGCGTTAGAAAATGAAATCTAACGTATTTGAAATTAAAATATCAAATTAAATTCAAATTAAAGAAATATCCCTATTTAAAGCAATCTGTGGAGAGAAGCAATGGGAAAAACGCCGTTATATTTGGTATGTATACTTTTCAGAGCATGGATAAGAGTTTTGGCAATAAATCAAATATGATGAAATATCCGATAAAATAATCATGGTGCTGAGAGTGGGAAAAGACTATGACAGAGTGAAGGTTGATGTTAGGAAGATAGGTGAGATGTTGGGTGTACAATACATGGATAGAATTATATACAGTATATATATATAATTCTTTCCGCCCTGCGGGCACCAAGATGTCCTTTTTATCAAACCCATTATGGGTTCGGCCAGTCCCACTATGGGGCAGCCGGGTGATGAGGGACAGGGAATGGGTAGATTGAGAAATATACAGGGTAATTATAATTAAAGTTTCACTTTGAAATGGCCATAAAATGAAAACTACTGGACAGAATGTTATCAAATTTGATAATAGTGTACAGGACGTCATGGGATTTTATTTCCCCCGAAAAAAAAGTTCAAAAATTCACCACCAACGGGAAATGGCGCTGTCTGCAATATTGTTAAACGAAATAAGACATGAAGACATCGTTGAAAATGTTTTTAATCGGTTTTAAAACGCGTTACAAAGCATGTTCAATGTGGTGTTCACCATTTTTGATAAGCAAGTTACATCGCATTACTGTGTTCTCAACAGTAGTTCTTAGCATAGGCCTACCACTTTCTTCCTGCCGTAAGCCATTGTGATTTTGCGAAATCCCACAAACAGTTTCGTTTTAAAACCGATTAAAAACATTTTCAACGACGCCTTCGTGTCTTATTTCGTTTAATTAACAATATTACAGACAGCGCCACTTCCCGTTGGTGGTGAGTTTTTGAACTTTTTTTCGCGAGAAATAAAGTCACATGACGTCCTGTACACTATTACCAAGTTTGATAACATTCTGTCCAGTAGTTTTCATTTTATGGCCATTTCAAAGTGAAACTTTAATTATAATCACCCTGTACTTTACTCAACAGCATACAAAGTTTAATCGATGAATTTTGTTGCGTTCATTTCATATACTAATGGGATACATAAAGAATTGATAATATACAATAAAGAACTGATAAAGGCTTCATGTTGCTGTTAAGAATGATGGAGAACAATTTTCGATGTGTGAGCCATTATGCAGGATCCAAAACTTATACCGTAGCGCAATGTTTTCTTTGTCGGTGAATATTTAAACTATTTTTTTTTGTCATAATCTTTTTCCTATGATCTGAGAAATGCAGCCTGCACATCAAGTATGATGGCGATCCTCCAGTGGTTCTCTCTGCAGATTGCTTGTTAATTTGAAACACCTTCTATTTGAAAATAATTTTTACTACATTTTTATGGCTAAACTGATAAACAGTGTAAGTAATAAACAATTATCCTATCATAAAATCAATATAAAGTAAAATTAATTCACATAAACTTCACAATAGAAGAATTGAATACAAAACAGAAAAGATAAATTGAAAGTTCTACTGATTAATAAGGAATTGAAAGGACTGGCACAAATTAGAATATTGTATTGAAAGAATAAAAGAGGAAGAAATCAACTAATCAAAAAAGACAATAAGATTCGAAAGAAATTAAATTCTCTAACTGGAATAGAACTAAAGACAGTACTTTAATTCCAATTAGAGAATTTAATTTCTTCGAAATCTTTTTGAAGGACAGAAGAAAAAACCAACGAAAGCCAAATAAAAAGAATAGTAAAGAAAATACTGCAAAGAAAGAACAGCAAGAAAATAATTGAAAAGAAAGACGGAAACTTATAAATTGTAGCGTAAATTTCATTTATTTATTATGTTCATTTTTTCTACAATTTTTCCATTCTTCCATGAATTAAGGATACGTAGCAGCTTAAATTGGTGAAGATAACGAAGACGATAATCTGTTGATGAACTTAGTTTTTCGTATATTTTAGAAAAATAAAATAAAATATTATCAATTAATAAATTAAACATATTTATTTTATAACAATTTAATAAACAAATTTAGCCGTTATATGTGAAGTAATTTTTTCTAATTGAGTTTTAATTATTATTTTTTAGATTCTGCAATTCATATTTTAAAAAATGAAGCTGAATATTTTGCAAGAAACCTTAAGCAAGCTTAGTTGCTGCTTGGGTAAATTTATTGGAAGGCACCCATTATTTTTTGTCATTTTTCCTTTATTGATGGGAATTCTTAGCTCTGTTGGGGTCATCAGGATGACTACCATCACAGATATTCCTTACCTTTTCACAGCGGCCGATGGTCAAGCTATGAAAGATAAAAAAGTGGTAGAAAGTCTTTTTCCTATGAACAGTTCGTATAATTTTGATAAATTGAAATTAACTGATGATGGAGCGTGTTTAGCCGTAATAATAACTGCCAAAGACGGAGGAGACATTATGAGAGAAGAGATTTTTGAAGACATTTTGATTCTCGACGAATTGATACGTAATTTTACAGCTCATCATCAATCATACCCATTTAAATTTCAGGAAGTATGTGCCAAAAATAATGGAGATTGTATAATTAACGAAGGTTTAGAACTAGCAGCAAAAGTAACAGATTTCAGAAGAGGAAAATATTCCTTTAAGTATCCTTTGGATATTGATCCATTAATTTTGACATTCAATATGTATTCCTTTAACCTCGGGGGCGTAATAGTTGACGATAAACATTACGTAAAAGAAGTCAAAACGTTTCGCCTTCTATACTTCTTAGACGATACTGATAAATATAAAGAAGAATTGTCAAATATTTGGGAAGATTCTGTTATTCAATATATAGACGAATCTGAATTTCAACATATCAACGTTTATAGATTTGGTTCCTCAAGTTATGGTGAAGAAATAAATCAGTTCACAAGAAAAGTGATGCCCCTTGGAGGTGTCTCAGCGTTTGTCATTTTATTGTTTTCGATCGTCACTTTAATGACTACGGATGTTATCAAGAGTAAGCCATGGTTGGGATTAGCGGGTTGCTTTTCATCTTGCTTATCTGTTATTACAGCATTCGGTTTGGTTATGGCATGTGGAATTGAATATTCTGATTTGAACGTGGCTCTACCATTCTTGATTTTGGGTAAGTATCTTATTTTATAAGACTTTACTGTTTATGTCATGATTTTCTCATGTAAATCTCTTATTTTAGGCATGGGAATAGATGATTCTTACGTTCTCATAGCTGCATGGAGACGTAGTAAAATCACAAATACAGTCGAAGAAAGAATGGGAGAGACATTTGCAGAAGCAGCAGTCTCGATCAGTATTACTTCTCTGACCAATTTTCTTTCATTTTGCATTGGGATAATAACACCCTTTCCAGTGGTCCATTTGTTTTGTATTTATGCAGCTACTGCTGTTTTATTTACTTATGTTTATCAAATTACATTTTTTGGGGGTTGTATGGCTCTTAGCGGGCTCAGAGAGGAAAGAGAATTGCATCCTTTCACTTGCAGAAGAGTAGTCAAAGCGAAGAGAAAAACTAGTGGTAAATATTTGATGTTATTTTATTATATCTTTGATTAAAATATTCGTTCTAAATTACTTTTATTATTGTATAGCTATATCACGATATGTCGTAAACGACGCAAGAATGGCAGATCATTTTCTAATGCGGTTTTTCGCCAATACTTTGGGTCATTATCTCTCAAGAGGCCCTGTAAAAATAGCTGTCATTATGATGTGCATAGGAAATTTAATGGTGGCGTTATGGGGGCTGACAACTATCGAAGAAGGACTCGATGCTAAAGACTCTTTTACCAAGAACTCTCAAGGAAGAAAATTCCTTGATTTACATTACCAATATTATACCGAATATCCTTACAGATTGCATGTAGTTATTAATGAAACTCTAGATTACTCAAACAGCACCGTTCAAGAAAGTATCGAAAACCTTCTACATGATCTTGAAGCTACCACTTACATAGCAGATGCATGGCTTTCTCAATCATGGTTGAGAAATTTTACGTATTTCATCAAGACTCCAGGAGTAGCAAGCTACTCTTTAGCAGGTTTCAATTTAGAAGAAAAAGAGGATTTTATATATGCCCTAAAACATATATTTTTTAGATTTCCACAAACGAAATTATTTAGAAGTGATATAATCTTAAACGATGAAGAAACAGATATACTCGCAAGTCGTTTTATACTGTTATGTGAAAATGTCAAAACAAAAAACGCTGAAAAAACTCTTTTGACAGAGGTAAGAGACGTTGTAAGCAAAAGCTCTATACCCGTTACAGTTCACAGTGCATGGTTTCCCGTTTACGAACAAATTATAGCAGTAAGATCTATGGCGATCCACACAATATGTGTAGCAGCTGGTGTTGTAATGGTGGCCTTTTTCTTGTTTGCTCCAAACTTGAAATGCGCCTTTTGCGTGACCATCATCGTGGCTCTAGTCGAAATTGAAACTATTGGCTACATGGCACTGTGGGACGTACATTTAGATCTTCTATCAGTAATCTGTTTGGTCATGTGTGTAGGATTCTCTGTTAATTATCCCGCTCACGTTACTTACGCTTACGTGACTTCACCTGGAAGAACTGCTGACGAAAAAATGAAAGGCGCATTATATGCTATAGGTTTACCCATCTTTCAAGGATCTATATCAACCGTTTTAGGGGTTGCAATATTAGCTATCAATTCTTCTTATTTTATAGTGTTATTTTATAAAATTATCACTCTCGTAGTACTTTTTACCGCATTCCACGCTTTGTTTGTGCTACCCGTAGTCCTTACACTTTGTGTTTCGTGCAAGAATAAGGAAAACACCAGGGAACATTTCTTGGAAGACAATGGAATTTCTCCAGCACCAGAATCGTCTAAATTTATTGTTAGCAATTTATGAAATTATAAATTTTCATATTTATGATGGGTAAAAGTTAAAATAATTTTTTAAATTGAATTATAGATTGTAGAATATGTCCAGGGCAGTCCACAGCTTATGCTTAGCAGCTGGTTCAGATTATTTCTTAAATCGAGCGTGAATTTCTCGAATCATGACAATATAGACATGTTATTATCTTGAGAGTTTTATATATTATTGTTAAAAATTTTCCATGGTATTTTTATATGCTTTTATGCATTTGAATAAAATAGATAAATTATGTTATATTTTTCAAGAAAAATTATTTAGCAAAAATAGTGACTACCACCCAAAAATATGGGTAATTTAACAGATATTTTTTGAAAGAAACAACGCATTTTCCTGTTGCCATCAAATTTAGAGGCACACATTCGGGCCCTGCCTTGGGGGTATTTCCCTCTTTCTGACAAAGGCCGGTACCAGTGACCGTGGTCAAAATTCAATTTATCATAGTCAATAATGAAAGATTACAATGATCAGACTATTGGGTTTCTGGCAAATGACTACCTTAGCACGTTGGAGCAACGCCTCTTGACATCCCCTGCACTGTAATTTCGGGTTATAATTCCGAACACTTCCGCGCAGACTGTCTCCTTCGTTTATCGCTCCATCCATAATGCTTCGGGATCCTCCTTACGGCTTACAGGGCCTTCCAGGTATGCTGTGTGTAACTAATTACAAGCATTATGGACGTCATTACCTGCTCCATACTATTCCACACTTGAATCGGGAGGGGTTTGAACGCCTCGAACAGTAATTGCTCTCGTGTAATAATTTTTCTAAGCATAGATGCTGTAACATAAGATGGAAAAACTAGGAAGACACTTTAGTTAAGAAGATAACTTTTCTAAAAACACCGAAATTATCTGTAAAAGTACATTCTCAAACAGAGGATTTTGATATCTTCCATCGCAGTCACGAAGAAAGAAAGATACCATTTTTCAAGAATGAAGATGCATCGGATTCTCGAAATTGTAACATAAAAGAGCCTTTTACGTATACAATTTTTTGTTTAGTGCAAATGTCAGTTATTAAGAGCGATAAGTATTTTATTATGAGAGATAATAACCGTAATTTGTGATTGTTATCATTGATTCTGTTATAGCTTCCGATAACAGCACGCCTCTCGGATTAATGAAAAAAGACGTTGTTCAGCTACATACTTTATGATATTTTAATAACAGTAATATCTTCTTCTAGTCGATGGTTTCTGTCGATAACTTGTATATAACTCATTTCCCGTTTTGCTTTCTTTTTAGCAAAGTTCCTGTTACCATTTAAGCTAGTTGGTAGAGAGAACTTCGTCCATAAATTCAACTTTTAATATAGGAATCGTGTAAGATAGTAGCCAGTTCGACTAACTTGACGAATTGAAGTCGAACAATGAGCCAGATAAATCTGATAAGGCTCGAGTCATAAATAAAGCAGGCGTTATTGTAACAGTATTCGATAACGATAGCTTTACGATGAATGATGTTTTCTATTAAACAATCAGCTTGGCTATAAAACAAGAACCTACTTATCGGCTCTGCTGGACATCAATATATGTCACCATTGAGTTGTGGCCATCGATATTGCCTCCGGCCTCATGTTTATCATCGGCCTCTTAAGGGATGTAACAGAAAATGTTCGTGGCAATAAATAAATGCTCGTTTATTGTCAGGATTTCTTTCGGGACCATGTGACAATTAACAAATGAAAATTGTTAGATATGGCTCGACTGTGCCGAAGAAATGCTGATTTGAAAAAAACTAGGTGAAGAAAGTTTAAATGTGTTGAAAAATAGAAAGAATAAGATTTAAATACGGTGGAAAATGTGCTGAAAAATACTCAAAAGTGTTGAAAATTCTGCCGTTACTAAATCATGTCAAAAAAATAAGTCGTTATAACTGTATCAGGAACATCTGTATGTGTTAAATAATAAATTAAAGATTTATTAAGATTTTTCGAATGTGTTAAAAAAAATTATGATTATAGAAACTGAGTGAAGAAGGCTTCAATTTTTGAGAAAGATGTGGTATCTGTCAAAAAGAGCAATATATATATATATTGCTCTTTTTGCCCCTTATGGGTGCTAAGAGGGCATTTTTCTATAACCAACATGGGTTCGTCCAGGTCTAAAATGGGGGCGACAAGATGAAAGATGAAGCCGGACGTATTCGGGACAGACCGCACGTAAAAAAAATTCTTGGGGATACTCATTCGGATTCAATCTCAAGTTCTCCAGCGCTAATAGGCTGACACCTCGTCAATCCAGACGTACTGTTAAATAATTATGTTTAAGAAGTTCCAAAGTTTTAAAACTTATGTTAAAATAAATTAAATGAAGAAGGCTGTTATATATTTTAAAAAATGTCTTTTAAATAGGATACTTACAAAAAACTAAAATGTATTTGAAAGGTATGAATTCATGGAAAATTATACCGAGGAAATATTTTATAAAGAAAAAACTTAAATGATGATTTATTTCACATTTTCTAAAATTTAAGCTATTTCGAAATTAGTTAATTTTGAAAGAAACTACTTTATTATTATGTAAAGGTACATATTATTTTGTCAAAGAAAGAACGGCAATATACGAAATGAAAGGGCAGATAAATACTTAATTCGACACATCCCCGAAAGGAAGAAAAAAACCTAGCCAAAGTTCGGTGTAAGGGGGCAAATTTGGGATTAGGTCGACAGCCCCTTGTCTTCTGCAAAACCGAAAATTTTGGCGGTAATGACGAAGTGACCCTAGAAGTAGTTTTCTGTTACAACGCAGCTGCACCTCGAAGCTTTGTTGCACCTTGCTGCCTATAAGAACGACATAAAAACACTCGAAACAAACAAAAAAAAAAAAAAACAGTTAAAAACCGCGGAGGTAAAGAGGTTTAAAAAAAAAGACCGTCATTATTGTCAAACTAGAGAAACAAGAGCTGCACATTAAACAGTTTATCATTATCGCAGATCAGGAATTCTTCCATTGTAAAGCAAAGATACGCTACGAGATGATAATAAACAAGTGGCAATGGATATACACACCCAAAACAAGTAAAAAAAAAAGAAAATCGGTTGGGCCAACGCCCCATCCACGTCTCTTCTATTGTAATTAAGATGGTCGATAAAATATTAATAGGGAATATCTTATACAGATAATATACCGCTGGTAGAAACAATTTTTTGTTTACTTGGCCTCAAATTTTTTGGATGTTAATGCATCTTCGTGAGATTTACAACTATGATTGAATCATTTTCTTTTTAAAAAACTAATCAGAATAACAATAGAGTTTATCTGTTAAAACTAAAGAATATATAAGATTATAGTAGATAAATGTTTCAAAAACATCATAAATAATATATGAATAAATACGAAAGAATTTAAAGACAAAATTTGCATTTTTTTAAAAAGTTTTCTATTTTTTATTTTTGAAAATAATTTATTTAAATGTTATTGACTTATCAAAAAATTGATTTTTCGATAATGCCTTGTCTAATTTGATTTCGCTATTTTATGTTCCTTTTCCTAATTTTCATATTTTTTTCCTTAATTTTATTATGTTTCTCCCCTAGTTTTCACTTTATTTTCCCACTTTTCATGCTTTTTTCTAATTTTCCATGTTTCATTTTACAATCTTTACGATTTATTTTCTTGCTTTTCATATTCTTTATTCTGATTTTCATACTCTTTTTCATAGGCCCATGCAAAAGAGTTGAACTTCCAAAAAAGTATATTTTATAATCTAGTTTATTAAATTTTTCAATATAACTGCTATATATAGAGTAACACAATACTAAGAAAGAACTGAATGGGTATAAAATAAATACAAGTTGTACACAATACATTGTTTTATTAATATAGTGACATTTGAATTGCCAAATAGGAGGGGTTAAACCCCCAAAACTTCCAATGTACATGGCCTAAATTTTACATTTTGTTTTTAACTTCTTATGTACAAGTACTTTTTCTAATTTTTCATGTACCGTTTGATCAAGTTGTTTATTTCTGGTTTCGTAGAAATGAACAGCTAAAGATAGAAACGATCATACAAAAATTGTTAATTTTTCAATTACTTATCCAAACTACCTGTTTTCCATTAAATTTTCACAGAAGGGAAAGCAAGAGGGTTTGAAAACAATTGAAGACATGCTTTTCATAAACAATTATAACAGGAAAATTTAGAACGAGTGGGACAAATGGTTTGGCGTGGTTGGATGGGAACTGTCAAAAATCTGTAGCAAAAATAAGCCAAAATGATTTATTAATTTTCTGACAAGCGATAACTAATGAACTTTTACGGAGAGAAGAAGAAAAGCAAGAAAAAAATAAGCAAGCTAGCGCCTTGTATTTTGTCATTGTGGAATCTCCATTCGCGTCCGGGAAGAGGAATGGTAAGAATAAAAAAAAAACAAAGAAAAAAAAATACACGGGCTTGTGTTTTACCGACCCCCTTTCAACCCTCCTATCAGATGTTAGCATCAGTCATTTTTCATTCTTCATCTTTTTTTCTGGTGTCTCGGCTGAGGTGCTGGCTTCAATCCTGTATCTACCGTCACGTTACTGTGACGTTCTCACTTCAATCAAGTTAGACAACTTTATTCGCGTTTTGTATTGACAACCTACAATCTTTTTCATCAATTTCGTACGAAAGTAGATCATTTATTCCTTTCCTTTTTTATATTTTTCAATGATTAACACGAGATACCCGTCGTAGATATTCTATCATTTTGGTATCACTTTACGACGTCAGATGGCGCTTCGAGTTCTGTCATCGGAAATCGATCTTTTTTTTTTTTTTTTTTTTGTAGGATAGAGTAATGAATTTCGAGTTGTGTCGATTTTTTAGATAATTTTTAAGAGAAATATTAATAAATTTCCCGATTGGTTGAATTATTTCTGGAAATTTTAACTGTATTTAACGAAAAATAAATTTAGAAAAAAAAAACTTTGGGGTGTAAGTGGATGACGTAAGTGGATAATATAAGAGGTTTTTGGCTACCGG